AAATCATCATATTTTGCGAAAAATTAATTTGATACATCTACGCATAAGTAGGAAGACATTACATGGAAAACCCATTCAGACAGTATCACGCATGAGCAGAACATTATGTAAGGACAGTTATTCCAAGGTCACGAAAATGAAGTCCCGATTATTAAAAAGAAGAATCTGAAAATGTATTGAAGAATGAAAAGATCTGGCGAACACAATCGACGCTTTCTCCTTAGTATCAGAACTTACTTGTTTGTGATAAGAAGTGTTTTCCTAGTATTAAGACGACTATGACAGAAATAAGTGTCGGCCACCAAGACAGCTCTCGTTTTCTTAGTTTCCTAGTTGAAGGAAAGAAAAACACACTATAACTCAACATTCTCGAAGACAGCGTACACGGATAGTTTGTCAAACCTAAGATATTATTACGACGTTACCTGCAGTACGGCGTTTCCTAGGGCTTCGCGCAGATTATATGGCTTGATAACCTGAACAAATACATCAATTTATTATATGGCAAGGCAGTATTGAGGTAAATCCGAGCGTACTGATTTGTTCTTACTTGGTTGGGATTTTGCCATACGGACGGTTTCCACGCTCGGTAAATAAGAAACTCATACTACAAAAGAGTACCTTTTCGCGCCGAACAGTTAAAGTCTCTCTCTTTGACGTAATGTGTCGATCAATTTCCAATCGAGTACCAAAAGGAATCTTGGAAAGTACTGGCTTCGCTCCGGTCTCTTATTGGTTTCTAAAACTTGCACAATTCTCTAAACCAATCACAATCTCCGTATCCGCGTTTTCCCACGCTTGAAGTCGTTTACATCTAATTCATTTCAGTTTTTATTGGCTCCCTGAAAAGGTAACCTTTTTCTGATTTTGCGTTATGATTTTTTTTAGGTATGGTTTTACGGCACTCTTCATCTGGTATGATTAACCCTTTAATTCCCACGAGTGACCAAAACAGAAATTCTCTTTACAACATCATCAATACAATATCAAGCATACAAATGATGAAAATGAAGAAAAACATCTCTTTATAGGGGATTATTAGTTGATTCAATACCAACTTCTATGAACTAGCATCTTACCAGTTGTATGGCAGACAATAAGAAGAATTCCTAATGAGATCTTGGGAGTGATAAGGTTAAGGCAAATTAAGTGTGTAAGTCACCTTGTCAGCGTAGAAACATCTGGGTGGTCGTAATCGTTTAACGTCACTTCCACTGATGGCAGAACTGCAAAGAATGAAGCTCAATTTCAGATGACGGGTAAGCATGAAGAATTCTAAAACAAATCTCAGAAATTTTGAGTTGCACTCATACGTGACATTATGCAGAAAAATTTCGTCATCAGGGCCTTGTAAACTGACAAGTTGTCGTCCAAAACATTCTCAATATTGGTGCCAGTGTTGTATCCAAAATGTATTTCGGATTTAACTCGACAGTAGATTTATTATAGAATGATTAAGTTCCATCATTTGCGTTTTAAGTTTATATCAAGGTAAGTAATGAAAGAGAGAAAGTAATGCCAACTATCCCCACACGCGCTTCTTCAAACTCTCTCCTGGAGAAATTGTCAATCGAGTATCAAACGTCTCCCGGATTTTAATGGTTATGCTTCACTCCGCTTTGTGCTTCGTAAAAATACAAGAAAAAAGGAAAAGAAAAAACTTTCAAGTCAAACAGGTGCAAAAGGAAAACCAAACATAAGTTGGTCACTTGGTCACAAAGGTTTGAGGACTGGACCCAAGAAGACGGCAGAAATCGAGCCTATCCTTTGTGATGCTAATAGGAAAATCCTTTGCCAACGCTGTCGTTTACCGAACGACATAAGGTTGAACCAAATGAATCACATATGAATCTAGTAATGGCCTGACTCGCCATGGAACTCTCGGAAGCTCAGTGGTCGAACATCGGAGCGCGAAATCCAAAGGTCTGAGATTCGATTCTTCGTGGCGATTCTTGTTTGATTTCTTTCTCCCACACTCGTGACAAGACGAAAAAATAACGTACTTTAAAAAGGTGTTAAGTTCTGAAATGTTACTAACCCTTTAATTCCTTCGAATGTGCTGCTCGCAAAGTCAACCAAACCTCCGGCAGGACGTGCCACTACACCAACCACACCCTTTCCCAGTCCCTTGAAAAACCCCGCGGCACCACCAGCCTTTGCGCCTATAAAAATGAATGACAAGTGAAGGAAAACAGATAACTCCGTGAAGATGTCCTGATTTGTGACGTGTGGGAGACGGAGTTCTTAGGTACGAGAAGAGAACTTCCACATTTAATTAGAAGGTTACGGAATAAAAATTCATGTGAGTTTTTTTACCCTTGACGGTGTTTAGAGTTTGATCAAAGCCGAACTAGTAAAAATAGACATTCCTTATGAAACAAAAAAACGTAAAAGACCCAACTAGCAGAAAAAAACTACTTGGAAATTTAGAAAAACCGCTTTTGTAAAAACGATATTTGGTGCATTTTTTAACTGAACTCACCCTGCATTGGTTTGGTTATTATTCCTGTCACACCTCCCAAAACGCCCTAAAAAAGTGACAGAAGTAAGAAAGTGCAATGGTTTCTTATCACTCACTGTAAGCGATCACGACATGGTCACGTGCACTTTCTCCGTGCTCGAACCAATTTAATTGCCTTTTTCTTGCTTTTTCGGTTTTGATTCGCTTTGTTTTGTTTTCTCGAAGAGGCCCCATTAATTTTTTATGGACGTTTCCTTTGTCCTGATTAGCCGGAGTGATTTCTTTGGATTAGATGTTGTGACAATCATTCGAATAAGCGCATGAGTGCCCGATGTATAAAGTTCACAATTACATGCCATAAAAAAGAAACCGGAAAAAAAAACATGTTACGTCGAGAAACCGCCTGCTAAGTAACACAATATTCTCTCATTGCGTCTATAACTCCAAGTTCTCATATTTTAATTGACCTCCAATTTCAAAGTCTTCCCTTGAGGTTATCAAAGCACTCTAACGTTAGCACTTACTTCAAGTAGTCCCTTCCCACCCCTTGTGAGTCCTTCTTTGACATTAACAGGTTTCTTTCCCATCGCCTGCCTCCTCTCCTGTTGGTATTTATCATCCATTGTTAGTGCAGCGATACCTTTGCCCAGCGTTCCAGTTATACGAGAGACTGCACCAGCCGCACCACCTGAAAAACAAACAAACAAGAACATTTGGAAGATCAAAAGACTCCATAATCACCAGAAGAAGTAGGGTAAAGCAGTCAAAAGGTTGCGTTCAACGAGCTAAGTGGCTTGCGATGCTAGATCTTCACCAAGTATCTGTATTACATAAAGACTAGCACTATGGCCTCTCCTCCAAGACGGAAATTAGACCATCACTACTAACCTTCCAGCAATGTGGTGTGGTTTTCCTGATAGTATCACAGAATGGAGAGAGACATAAAGAGTAAAGTGTCTTCCCCAATAATTTAACTCAATGATCCGGCAGGTTTCGACTCCGGACCTTTCGTATCCTGAGTCCAGCGCGTGAACAAGTTCAAAAGAAGGAGCGAAACCTAAGCATAGATTAACATCAACATACCAACAGTGTGACCTAACAAGCTCGTGGCGCCAATCAGCAAACCCTCTGCAAACTCGCCAGGACCCTGGATAAGACCCTAGAACAAACAGAAACAACAGTATTCGGACTTGTCTCAGTTTTTGCGATTCTTTCCACTTCTACCTTTGTTCCTATCCACGAAGATACTTTATAAAGGATCGCCAGCTCATTTTCTGGCCAATGACTGAGAAGGGCTAGGACACAGTCCTTCAAAATGCTAATTGATACGTACAGAAATGTTTTACATCTCAGTGAACTGCAGTTTTTTCAGTTAAAATCAGAAGGAAAAAAAAAAAAGAAACGGCACAAAACAAGAAAACAAGTAATTATCGATACATAATGATAATTATGAAGGGGTGATTATGACAACAATTATAATTACAAACGCCAAAGAATAGTCCAATATTTTGGTCTCTCGCTCACTCTCTGAGTTAAATTCGAGTATCATTTGTTTTTTAAAGTTATCCATCAAACTTACCTGGTAAGGTTCGTAAAAGAAGTCCCTCGCTCCTTCCTTCAGGCCGGTAAGCAAAGCAAATGGATTTCCTAATACATCAAGCCCCAGTACTAACACGTATAACTGCTTCAGTGCCTGAATTAAAAAAGGCCGAAAAAATTAATCATTACTGCCATACGAGCGATCCACTTATTTACCTGTCACAATCAATTAAAGTTCGGTGGCGAGTATAGTTAAGTCTTAGAAGCCAAGTAGCGGGTGGTTGTTCTGGTTTCTGTAGCATGAAGCAATTAAGAGTATGTCTACCACTGCATAACACTTTAATCCATCGCAGCTCCCCCCTGGGATTTCGTCACTTTTTCCTGAAGGTTCGCCTGTACCCATCTATACAGATGGATTAAAGCACTGTAAGAGTAGAGTGTCTTGCCCTATAACACATCAAAGTGACCTGGCCAGTGCATGAACCGAACCGCCTGACCCGGGGTCCCGTGTGTCTCCCATCATAGAGTACTGAATAAATTCACCTGACTACGGTAATGCTTGATGGCGACTTCCATTAACTGCTGCTGCGTATAAACTTTGTCCTTTATTTCGAGATAAGCTAGCCTGTAAATACAACATAAACGAAACTGTCTGCCAAGCTCCTCTTAGAGGTGTGACATGAAAACACTGGATAACGGGTAATAAATATGTGACAAATCATCAAGAGAGGGTAGGTCACCAACCCCTAACCCTTTAACTCCCATGAATGACCAAGACAGAATTTCTCTTTACAATATCAATACAGTATCAACCAGATGAGTGATGAGAATAAGGAAATATATCAATTAGGGGATAATTAGTTGATCCAATACTAAATTCTCTGGACTAACATTATAAGAATTGTATGGTTGACAGTAAGGAGAATTAAAAATTTGATCTGGGAGTTAAAAGGTTAAATAAACAGTTCACGTCAGTTCTATTTTCTTTTTTTCCTAAGAACTAAATGCAGAGCCCAGATTTGGTCGTATTTTCTGCTCTAAGAAGTAGCTGTATATTTGGCTGCATGGCAAAAGGTGGAAGGTTTCCACACGGGGCGGGGCTAGTGCTTCAACCTACAATCTTTGTTATAACTCATGGAGACAAGCACCGGCTCAAGTTTTTTTCCCCATCTTATTTCCTTTAACGTTCAGTCAACTTCAAAGACATAATGGCATATAAATCTAAGACCTCATTTTGAGCCAGGTATCATTGTTTGCACCAAACGGAAGGGAGCACTTTTGACTGGGGAACAGCGTCACGATAGGAAACGACAAGTGTGAAGAGGCATTATGACAAAATTATCCAACAAGTTCATGGCTGACGAAAATGTTACCCACTTGAACTCTACATCTTGTACTTCAGTGACTGCTACTCCGACACTCTTGAGCAACAAGCTTACAAAACTGCCACCGATAGCTTTTTTGACCTCGGCGCCGCCACCCAGCTGAGAAAAACTAACATGAATCTACAGGAAAAATCATAATAAATGTCCTTAGGCTGGGCGAAAGAGTCTTTCACTCTCATTAGTCACGTGATCACATCACCATTCGGTTAAAATCAATTCATTTGAGAGAGTAACTGAATCTTTTGCCATCCAGGATAGCATTGTTTTAAACATTAACTAATCAGAGGCGGCCCAAACCAGCAGGAATAACAGTGATGGCAAAACAAGCTTAAAACGGCAGAAATCGCCAGAAACTACAATGGATACACAAGATGTGAGTGAGTTCTGTTGATTTTAGGTGTAAAATGTTCATATTTCGAAATGTTTATCGTTGTAAATCGATCATATTTCGCTCCCCACACTATTTCTTATAACGTGTTTAAATTCTCAACGGTTCCTCCCCTAACTTAATTAACACCGAGTCACACAACGCGTGACGCTTTCATGAATTAATAGTTTCCAAAAGGTCTGTATAGAAGCAGATATGTAACGAATTTAAGAAAATAAACGACTGTCACACTTTTTAAAAACATTTTTGGACAGTTGGTCAGTGATAGGACCTCTCACATTTTCAGACTTCTACATAATTCTCCACAGTATCGCACCCATTGTTCTGATGAGTGTTATAACATCTTAGATCACGCTTCCACAACTTTTCAACTTAAAATCAATGAAGCTATCCACATTCAGTGGGAGAAACCAACACTTAATCATCAACTTTATCATGTTAATTTAAAACTTTCCTTGTAAATGCTTTCATTGTTCCGTTACTATTGTTTGTTTTGTCCAATCAGCATTTTGTTACACACTTTAAATTACGCACTTTAAATTCAACAACAGAAGAACTGTC